CTGATATGATATCAACCTAATCAAGAGCGACTTGTTTGCTGTTATTAGGACAGCCAACATCAAATCAGTTATCAAGAACCCATCCTACATGTGTATCGCGACATTGGGTATGAAAATGCTTGACATTAGCAACTACGTCCCAGCTGGAACCAGCTACAGCAAGTATCTGAGTACCTATCTCGGAGACTGCAATTGCGATGATAAAGTTAGATGTGTGTGTGGCCTAGGTAAGGGTATATTCCCGTACGAGCACATCACTTCATTCGATATTCTCAGTGAGAGTAGTATCCCACCTAAATCAGCATTCAATAGTACGCTTCGCAACACTAGCATTAGTGCTGATGACTACAAGCGGGTACAGTTCGTTTGGGAGCACTATGGCATGAAATCGGTTAAGGACCTTCTGGTTTGGTACAATAACCTAGATGTCGTTCCATTCGTTAAGGCCATTAAGGCTCAACGCGAACTATTCAAGCACTTTGACCTCGATATGTTCACCGATGGTGTATCCTTATCAGGTCTTTCGGAGAAGGTTATGTATCAGACATACTACAATAATCTCCAGCACCCTAGTAAGAAGCCTGCAAGTGCATTCCGATTCCCAGCTAAATGTTTAGCCGGGTACAAGAGTCGGGATGCTAGTACTAACCGCGAGTTCAATATGAGTCTCAAACACCTAGACAAGCTGCTACATCAGCAGAAATATCTTTGTGGGCTATGCTACCAGCACTTAACTATCGAGACGGCCTCGGCCGATCGTATTAATAACAAGCTGGGTCCTATCGATGGCAACATCTTGATCGGTTGTGCCGAGTGCAACGTTGCTCGTAAGGATACAAATTTTTCTACCTTGAATCTTCGTCTCGTTGCGCTTGGCATATCGATTAAAGATAATTGATGGACCGCCTGCGATATTAGCTTTCATCGTAGCGTAGATGTATTTTTCCTCCTTATTAATGCTATAGACTAGCCTATCTGAGTTGAACTCGAGGAGCTTCTTGTATCAAACCCCCTCAGCGACATAAGCAGATCATTGGTTATGACGCGAACGCACTCCATCTATGGGCTCTTGGTAATGACATGCCATGCGGTCGATTGACTACGATCGAAGCATATCCAGGAATTATCGATGATATCAAGACCGACAAGATCTTCGATTTCCTTGAGTGTGATATTAGTACGCCCAATCACTTGAAATACTATTTCAATGAGATCACCCCAATCTTCAAAAATGCATTGATCGATTGCACCGACGAGAAGGTTATTGGGTCTCATATGTTCAGCTACAATGGCGCACGCAAGCAAAGTCGATCCAAACCAGCTCGCAAGTTAATTGGAAGCTATTTCGGAGAGAAGATACTCATATACACGCCATTACTGAAGTGGTATCTCTCCCATGGGATGGAAATCACCAAGACGTACAGCTTCACCAAGGCCAGCTCTCACAAGGCATTTGCGCCATTCATGGAAGCTGTATCTAATGCTCGACGGGAGGGTGATGCTGATAAGGCTAAGGCTATGATTGCCGAGATGATGAAATTGGTAGGAAAGAGTGCTTTTGCGCGTAGTGGCATGGATATGAGTAAGCATAAAGAAGTCAAATACGAATCAGATGATAAGGCAGTAAAGTCAAAGATTAAGGACTTCACATTTCACGGATTAGAGGAGCTCAACGGTTCCTGTGAGATTACTTTAAAGAAACATCGTCTCAAGAACAAGAACCCCATTCATCCCAGTATTGCTATCTAGCAGCTAGCCAAGCTCCGAATGCTACAATTTTACTACGACTGCATTGACTTCTACTTCGATCGATCCGATTTCCAATATCATGACATGGATACTGACTCAGCATACATGGCTTTTAGTTGTGAGAAACCTTTTCAGAACTGTATTAAGCCTGAGCTACAAGAGCACTTCCAAAAGCATAA